ACGCGGCTGCTGCTGCTGGCTGCAATAGGTCTAGCTCTCAGCCAAACCAGTGATTTCAGCTCTTTAGTCACCAGCTGGGCTGCCAAATGAATCCAGCTTTCACTGGACTAGCAAACAAAAAGATTCCTCAGGGAGTCTGCTTTAGGTTTGTCCTTAAAACAAAGGGGAAAAGGTGCAGGCTGGGCCAGTCTTATAGCTCATAGCTGGTAGGTGTGAAGCAGGTTGACTCAAGTCCTTTAACCCTTTCCCCCAGCTCTGTTCACTCAACTCTGGAAGGGGGGAGGCTTGTTCTTCCGAGACCTCTTGCCATGATGGTGTCTCTCCTGCAAGCACTGGTGGCATGTTTTACAGTTCCCACATTTAGGGGTAGCATGATTAGTTACCCCCACAACAGTCCCAAATTATGTACAAGTCTCCACATTCCATTCAAATACTGACCCTCCATCAGCCCTGGCTGAATGGGATTTTTACATAGCCACACCTCGGATTCTCTCCTGAGCAGTATTTACATGTCAACAGTTAACAGTTAATTACCTTGCAGAGCTAAACAACTGTAGTGGGCACACCCACCCCTCCTTTTAGCTGGCTGATAGCAAGCAGCAGTTCAGCCCCTGCTTACATCGTTATTAATCATCATGTCAATGATCAATAATATTAAGTTGGATATTTTCAGATCTGCGAATGGGCATTCTTATCTGGCTCTTTGCTGACCACTGGTTCTGAATTCTGAGGTAGGCTGGCTCTTTGGTTTGAAAAGGCTGCTGAGTCCTGCTTTAGAAATGCCGGCTCATCCCCACCCTGCCCCAGGAGGGTCTGATGTCACCCAGAACCACACGTTCAAGATTCAACGTCTTGTGAAACTGTGCACAAGTGACAGGGAACGGAGTTTTCACAGCAGAGCAGTGAGCACCTTGCCAGTGTGGAGACAGTTACAGCGCCGGGGGCGGGTTTACAGCGCAGTCATGTGCCAGTGTTGACTTGGCATTGGCATTTCGGCAATTGTGAAAGCTCCCTGCTTGGCTCGTGCTGCCCCTGCAGGCCCAGGCCCACCCCCCCACAACAACACAGCCATGAGTCAGTGCCCTTTCCAAGGCTGAAGTTCTGAGCTGAACTGCGCTGGAACTGAAGAGGCAGCTAAAACAAAGGTGAAGGCCGGCTCTGCCTGGCATTGCTCATGGGTAGAGCCCGGCGCGGATCCACAATTTTGTACTCGCAGCCACAGCTGTAGTTGCAAAAAAGAGTCACAGGGATCCACATCTCTAGCC